GGTTTCATAATACCGTTGAAGTTCACCAAGCCATATCTCCCAAAATTTATTCTCGTTCATCATCACTTGGGTCTAATCCGCATCCCAAACGAGAATTGAATCTGGATAGGGCAGCGTTTATTATCTACCTGCTACCTGTTGGAGACGCTGATGAAACTCAGGTGTGGTCAAAAGTGCGATTTACCCTGGATGGGAATTCCTTTTGGGAAAGAGGACTAAGGGAATTTTATCGGCATTTTAAGGCGTATTTGTATCATTTTGGAAAAATTTAACTAGCAATCCTCCATCTTGTTTAACTACAGCTCTTATCCAAGACCTATTAATAGTCTAGGAGTCTACTACCTCTAAATATAAGTAATGCAGTTGATTTTCGTTGCGAAATGTAGTGAGTGCAGTTCTTATTCTACACGAGTAAGCTTGATTTGTTGAATATCTAGTGACCGCAGACCTTGTGAATAAAAGCGTCTATAAATGCCGTGCTAATTAAAAAAGCGAAAGGCTACTGCAGACATCCTAGCCTTTATGCCAACATTGCTTGTTCACATTTTTTCCTAATTAACCATTTTTATAAATTCATTAGTATTGAAATACCCACGAATAATTTTTACTGTTTCTGTAATTAATGGCGATTTTGGAAGGTTATTTTCAAAATCCGTGACCATATCTTGCAATCCCTTTTTCTTCTAGTCTTCACCTAGCCTGACCACCACTCTAGCCTCCAGTACTTCCACACAACGGACCAATGACGGTGAAAATAACTTTAAGGATGAAGAAATTAGGAACTTGCAGACCTCATCACTTAAGTCATCCTTTTCTCCTGACAAAGTCTCTTCTAAGCTGCATCAGCAAAGTTCTGATCAATCAACAGCTGGACTAGATCTAGCTCGCCGTAGTGAGTTTCAAGCCTTCATTCAGAGCCGGACCTGTCTTTCTGGTGGTAAGGGTTGGTGGCGCTATGAGGTCTGTTTGGGAAAGGCCATACTTCAATTTCATCAAGTAAGTTTACTTTTTCTGCTACTTATAAAGCTAAGGAAACTGCATTATTTCTTTAAATCAATGTGAATATTGCTACCCTCACGAAATTGTATCCTATATATACATGATAAACAATAGGATAAGTGGCTAGCAGAAAGTCATAAAATAACATACGGATTTTTAGGTTAAGGAGTTCATATCAGCACAACTAGATGATAACCGCTATGACTAATAAGGGCATCGAGTCTTTTTCAGAATTGTTTTCCCCTCACTTGAATGTCTTCGTTATCCAAAACTCCAGTTGGCCCTTATTGATTTGTATCTTTTTAAATCCTGTATAAATGAAATCTTCTGGACTTAGTGCTTTTCGTCAATATTTATGTTTATTCCGATCCACATACAATCCGTCAATATCTCATTGGATCTAGTGCATTGTTATAGGTCTATTGTCTGCCCATGTATATCCGCATAAGTTGTGGTTCGAATTATTGACCGATTATATGAGAGTCTATTTTGGGCGGTGTAGTGACTTTTTTTAATTTGAGCGAGAGGGAAAATTATTTGGTCGAATTTATTTATTTATTTTTTATCTCAGTAAACTCATTTTTTAAAATATTGTTATTGTTTCTGGATTT